TAGTAATGGCAGTAGTTATAATAACACTATGGTGTGGTAGTAATAGTTATTCTAGTTATAATAACACTACGGTGTGTTAGTAACAGTAGTAGTTATAATAACACTACAGTGTGGTAGTAACAGTAGTAGTTATAATAACACTACGGTGAGGTAGTAACAGTAGTAGTTATAATAACACTACAGTGTGGTAGTAACAGTAGTAGTTTTAACACTACCCTGTGGTAGTAACAGTAGTAGTTATAATAACACTACAGTGTGGTAGTAACAGTAGTAGTTATAATAACACTACAGTGTGGTAGTAACAGTAGTTATAATAACACTACCGTGTGGTAGTAACAGTAGTTACAATAACACTACAGTGTGGTAGTAACAGTAGTAGTTATAATAACACTAGTGTGGTAGTAACAGTAGTAGTTATAATAACACTACAGTGTGGTAGTAACAGTAGTAGTTATAATAACACTACGGTGAGGTAGTAACAGTAGTAGTTATAACACTACAGTGTGGTAGTAACAGTAGTAGTTATACCACTACCGTGTGGTAGTAACAGTAGTAGTTATAATAACACTACAGTGTGGTAGTGACAGTAGTAGTTATAATAACACTACGGTGTGGTAGTAACAGTAGTAGTTATAATAACACTACAGTGTGGTAGTAACAGTAGTAGTTATAATAACACTACCGTGTGGTTGTAACAGTCGTAGTTATAATAACACTACCGTGTGGTTGTAACAGTAGTGGTTATGATAGTTATAATAATACTACCAAGAGGCGGCCGGTGCCAAACTCAGAACGGAGCCCCGCCAATGCCTCGAGCGGCATCGCGCGGACAGCAGCGGCAGCAGCAGCGCCCCCGACTCGCGAACGAATACCTGGAGGTCAATGAGCGGAACGCATCGAGACAAGTCGACAGCGGTGGCTCTGTGCATCGAAATACAGACAAGGAACCACCACCACCACCGCTGTCAACCCACACGGTTTAGCCGTATTCTTGTACTGGAAAATTGAGTTTTCAAGCCCATGCGGCGTACAGCCGTTTCAATGCGGGCAAAACGAATGTGCCTATTTGTTAGTGTTTAAATTTCGATTTAAAGCTTTCGTGACTGCAATGATTCATCTTCTTTGGTTCTTTCGGTAAAGTCACGTAGAATGAGAATAAAATAATAAATTGATAAAATAACACAGTAATATTCTCACGACGTTTCGGCCACAACACAAGCGGCCTTCATACTAACACTGTAGTGTTATTATGTTAGTGTTTCTCCCTTGTGATGGGACTTTGGAGGTCTAAATTGTCCCGTAATAAGGTCGGGCACTGATAATTATTATGGGTTGGCAGCTATGTCACACGCTCGCACTGATTGATTTTAAAGACGTTGTTGATTGTCACTGCGGGGGCCACCGAGGGCAGAGTCCGTCTCCTCCTAATCCTCAGCGGCAGTCCGGTCTCTGGGGGAGGTTTGGACCGCGTTGCCTAAGCAGTCATCGCAGCAGCCACCACAGTCGTGAACTTATTTCCCCTCAGGATGAGCCGAGACCCGGCCACTGCGGGTTGGAGAGGGGTCCTGGGTAGGCGGCCACCACCGCAGTGGAAGAACTGATTACTGGAGGTGTGTAAAAGAGCTTTGTGGCTCATCGGATTCCTCCAGTATGGATACAGATCCTGAACCCTTACACAAACTCACACGCAGAAAGAGAGAGGCAGATAGAGAGGAGTCGTGAGGAGGTGGATTGATCGTGCTGACAGAGGCAAGGGAGTCGCTCTCACCGACGTCTCCTCAGGGCTCCTCACCGACGTCTCCTCAGGGCTCCTCATCGCCGCCTCCTCCTCCTCCCTCTCCCCTCCTTGCGCCGCCATTGCGGTTGCGAGTTTCCCGCCCTTTTTTCCCGAACGCCCGCGTGGCGTGACGTCACTAGTTTACCTTTAAGGTCATGTACGCCGTGACGTCATTTATAGTTTAAACAAGACAAGCGCGGAACGTGACATCCTGAAACAACCACGCGAAGCAAATACAAATGTAGAGGATATCTCAGCCATCCCATAGCTGTCAACACATACGGTTTACTCCGTATTCTTGTACAGGGAAACTAAGTGTTCAGTTCCTTACGGCTTACAGCCGTTTCATTGCAGGCAATAACAACATACGGCCAAAAAAAGTCGTGGGATAACTTTTTCATGCGGGTCTTTCGGTAAAGTGACGTAGAACAAAAATAATAACAAAAAATCGTCATCAGGAAGATAAAAGGAGGGGGAAAGCTGCTGAGGCAGGCTGTTTTAAAGGTTTGAAATGGGTGTAGCCCAAGGGGCCGTCCATAAATGACGTCACTCGAGTTTGGACTATTTTTGACCCCCCCCCCCTTCGTCACACGGCGTAACAAAAAGTCAGACCCCCCTAAAATATGACGTCACAAAGCTCTGCCCCCCCCCCCCCACAAAAAATCTGCTTTAAGCTATTATCATTGTAGTGCGTATTTTATGTGCTGCTGCACTCTGATGTTGTAGGAGTAAACATTTATTTCAAAAAGAGTATTTATTAAAAAGTCTATTTAATTAAGTAGAACGTATTCTTGGTTCTTTCGGTAAAGTCACGTAGAAGGGAAACAATAAAATAATAAAAATATAAAACAATACAATTCTCACGACGTTTCTACTGCAACACAAGCAATCATCATCAGGTGTGAAAACTACGTGACTTTACCGAAAGAACCAAGAATATGAATCCCTGCAGTCACGAAAGCTTTAAATACAAATTTAAGTTGAACGTGTTGCCTATATTTATTTAAAGTTGCGCATTTTGATGTGACGTCACATTTCTCAACCCCCACCTCCCGTCACACATCGTCACAAATGTCTGACCCCCCCTCCCCAGGTGCGTGACGTCATTTATGGATGGCCCCCAAGGGTTACAAACTACATGGGCGGGGCTAGTGATGTTAAAAGTGAGAAATTTGCATGTTAATGTAGGTTCGGAGGGGGACTTCCACACCGAGGGCGCGGATGCGGCTATTGTAATGAGAGATTAGCATGTCAACGTAAGATCGCAGAGCTGCTGCCACATCGAGGACGTGAGCGAAAGTGGCTTTGTTAGTGTGAGACATTTAACCTGATAAAGTAAAATCAGAGTCGAAAATAACAACATCAGAAGGTAGGATGGAAACATCACAGTCAATTATGACTTCAACTGGTTAATAACGTCCTTCCAAATGATTGCTCAATTTGTACCCATCTTCTCGGTTGAAATTGTCTGTGTCTATATATCTGAACGGCTTCATGAACAAATCTTTGTTGATAGCCAGTGGGCTTGCAAAGTACCTTCGTCTTGGAGAAATCAATTTTGTGTGAGCCCACCGCATTAAAACAATGATCAGCCATGGCCGAGGTATTGGTCCTACCGTATTTCAGATCTGCCTTATGTTCACGAAAGACCCAATTCCTGCAGTCATGAAAGCTTTAAGTCAAGATATAACTTTTTTTAGTTTTACTCTGGAGAGGAGCGATCCCCATACGTGCATCCACATATCAAGCAAGTAGCAGCATCAGCATGCAAGATCACAGACAGCAGCATAATAAGCAGCATCATTGACACTGTGAGGGATGACGTCCGCCCCACCGCCCTCGCTGGGCAGGTGGGGTGCAATGTTTGCCCCCTCCACTCCCTCCTCCACTGCGTAGATCGGTCCCCGCTGGGCCCCCGCCGACCGGGTGATCGGCCCCCCCGTGTTAGCGCCCCCTCCGAGGGACATCGCTAAAACGCTGGCTCACCGCCGCACGGGGTTATTCCACACGCGCACACACGCTAACACTAATGCTACGGCGGCGACGAGCACGCGCGCGTGCCCCTGACGATAAATTTAACACACACGCGCGGCTGCACGGACGCGCGAGCGTCGGCGGTCGTTTATGTTTTTAATACACGCGCGCCTCACACACACTCAAATTACCAACACCACGCCGACGTTCCACCCACCCACACAGAAATCACACCGCACCCAAACTCTGTACTAAAGTTTATTAATGGCGCAAATACACACTACCTGGGGGGAATATTTTGCGAGAAGAGCTCAGCCTAACTCTGCCTACGAACCCAGTCACTCAAACGTCTTGCCACGTACCTCGAAGCTGTACTCACGGCGTCGCACGGACGCTGGGAGAGTCGGAGGGAGAAGGACGAGAGAAAACTTTACCTATCACTGCCTCGTAGCAGCACTCGCTGGCATCACACGGATGCTGCGAGCGGCACGAGGAGGGTCTTGACGGCCCGGAGGTTGAAGACAAGAGCTCTAAAATCGTCCTGGGCTACTCTTTTTATTCTCTAAACTTCAAAGGCCCAGGGTGACGTTGTACCACACAGCCAATCGTGCGCTTACCTGCGCCATCGTCCCTCTCAACCATCTCTACCGTGGCCTAAGCCCCTCATTTCAAATGCCCTGTTTGCTATAGTCCACGGCTGCGGTCGCTGGCCACCCATTGTCCCTCGTTGCCCATTGTCTGGAAGGGCGCTTGCACTTTTCTTGCCTAATATTCCAGCCTCCGTCCTTCCCCCAATGTTGTGAGTAACTCTTCTTTGGTTCTTTCGGTAAAGTCACGTAGAATGAATAAAATTGTATGGGCGCAGAAAGAAAAGGTTCCCTGGGCCAACCACAATGAGTTACTCACAATTTCGATTTAAAGCTTTCGTGACTGCAATGATTCATCTTCTTTGGTTCTTTCGGTAAAGTCACGTAGAATGAGAATAAAATAATAAATTGATAAAATAAAATAACACTACGTGGGTGCAAGTGCTGTGTGTGGGTGTGTGTTCAGTGCAGGGGCCAGGGGGGAGTTGTGGCGCTTGCGGATTTGCTTCGCGGTTGTGGCACCACAACACCAATTATCAAAATTAATAAGTAAAACTTTTTTGATTAGTAGCATAATTTTTGTCGATTTGTCTGTGTTTCTCCCTTGTGATGGGACACTGTAAGATGAACTTTGAGATTTATAATGGGCACGGGGTGACCAATAAGGTCTGAATCGGTATGTAATAAGGTAGGCACTGATAAGGGGTTGACAGATTGCCATCCTCACACACTCGCACGGCACAAACAACACACGACATCACAATCCCCACACACATCAATCACCCACACTGAGGGTATTTGATGGCATAGACAGTCCCATTTAGTGAGCTCATCCTGCAGGCGATGCTGGTTGGCTAGGTCATGGTAGCCCGCAAGCCAAGCCACTGCATGTCTAGCAGCTTTTGGGTGCGGCACGGGATTGACAAGAGGACCGATGTGGGACAGAAGCAAATGAAGATGATTCGATTTGCTGATGATTGGTACCAACGTTGCCAAGATAGGCCTCTGTGGAAGTGGAGCATGAAAGATCCTACTGGGCGAGTGGGGAGGGCAGCATGGTGGTGGTGGTCGTAATCGCGGTGATGGTCATGGTGGTCGTGGTGGTGGTGGTAGTAGTCCTGCAGATGGCTGACCCTGGTTCCTGCAGCCAGCTGTTGGCCAGTGCCTGTTCAGGTGTCAGGCGCTCGGCCGGATCCCACCTGTTGTGATGCACAGACACACGTGGAGAGGTTGAGAATGATTGAAGACTTCACGTTCATCTCCAAGTAGCTCTATAAACTTACAGAAGCAGCAGCAGTGTTCTGCGGTTGTCAATACCATCTTAGACCATCTGCTGCTGAGAAGGCCATCAGATATTCCACTTGTGCTCCCCACTGTACTACCTCGCTGAATGTTAGCCACCCGATGCTCTGCTCATTGTGAGCATCTCTCCTGTGTCTCCTGTTGCTGGAGGGCAACTGCCTCCAACTCCCCAAATGCTTCAAGTGCATCTAGCCTGGAAATGCCCAGAAGTGTCTTTCATGTACATCCTCTTACAGAGGGTGATTTTGATATTGCTGGTACCAGTTCTTGGCAAGTGAAATCAGGTTCATATTCTCCTGTACCGCATCAGTCCATCTCTTATCTATCCTTTGTTGTGCCCGGTGAGCCCGCTCTATCTGGCTAAACAATGCTGCATGGGCAGCTGGCCAAATAGATGGGAATGTTGTTGTATATGTCGGTTGTGAAAATTTTGATGAAAATTATAAAAAATTAAATGAATTTTGAGAAAATGCGTAATTATCTGAAATTATGTTTATTGATGTAATTATGCGCATAAATTATGTTAATTCGAGAGATAATCGCATTAATTTATGCGAGTGGGTGTGATTATGCTAACGCAAGCCATTATGATAATTAGGCCCCGCCTCGCTGACGAGGATCGGATTATCAATCGGGATCATGCAATTAATCATATTAAGTTATGCCAGTGTGATGCAAGCATGCAAGAGTAACTCGGCTTCGTTTCCTAGGTTCGTATTAACGCTCGGTAATACAATTATTCTTGCTTTAACATTTACTGATTGTGTATTAGTGTGTTTATGTCAGGTCTCCAAATTCGAATCTCAACGCAGAATATAGTTCTTATAAATAAGATTATGCATGAACTCAGGAAGAAACCCCCAGACACTTCTGTGCTAAGCAATTTTATTCTAAACAAAACCTTAACTTTGTGATATGCAAACTTTCAAGCTTGGAATAATCAACACAGTATCACACAGTAAACATCAACGATTGCGTTGTTTCACTTTGGCAACTGTACATATGATTAATTCCACCGCGTAATGCGAGCTCAATTGTTGATAGGGAGAGTCTTTAAAACATGCATGCACGCTATTCTAAACAAAAACCTTAATACTATAATATGAATTATTATACTTGAAATTGCCAACACAGTACTACAGGTGATGTTCATTTCATTGATCCATCTCAACCCTCAATAATCACGTTGTTGATTGGGTAACGGAACCATCGATTACTTCCTCTGAGTACCACGAGCATACGGAAAATATGAATAAAAAGTCCTTAAAAATGCATCCGACGATATTCATGCGAAAAGCAATCAAAACAATTATTATTCCCAAAGGCACAAATATACGACAATAGATTCATCGGCAAGATTATATCATTAGTGAAATGTCTTGGAGTAAGGGCGGGCTACGGTGTGCGTGCTCCCCCACTAGCGATCCTTATCTTGGGCGAAACTTTAATCAATTTGTGGGCAAGATCGCCTGATAAAGAAACCGGTTTAACACGATATTCTCCCCGTGAGCGGAGAGCTTCGTGGCGAAGGTTTCAAGGGTTTAATTTATATTGATTAATCTATTGGTAATTTATGCGATTGGAAGTACAAATTACAAAGAAAAATATTAATGCACTTAACACGACGTATTCTCATCACTCGGTGAGCCGCAATGCCTTCGCGGCCACTGATTGTTCACGTACTTGATGATTAGGCTTCTCGTTAATGATTCGTGTATATGTTGAGTGATATGGATTGGGTCGAGTGGGCCAGTGTTCGGAATCAATTCTTTGCGTCAAGCAGACACCAGGTGATGTGGTGGCAGTGTGGGGCAGAGTATCATACGCATAGTCGATTCTTCTTTCACGGCAGTCGGGTTCGGCCCACACTGGTGGACGAATTGACACGGTGCGCTGTAGGCGCGATGATCCGTCGGCAGATGGCGCTCGCAGTTCGTCCGCTTGCAGACGGGTCAGTGCTCGCCATTGGCGCGCTCTCTGGCGATGAATGATGGCTCCGTTCGTTGATGGCCGGTTTGGTCAACGTTTGACCCTTTCCGCCCTCTGGTGGCTGATGTTGGAATTCTCGTCGGCTTCGCGAGTCTGCAGCGACTCTTGAGAATCGAGGCTCAGAGCGGAGTGTTTTTCGAGCGATACTTCTTCTGATGGTGTTGTTCTCGCACGGCATTGCATGTCGCTAAGTAGCGAGTCTCGCCATTCTGGCGAGTTGTAGAGTCTTCTTCTGCGTCGGTGGTGCTGATCTTCTGATGGCCGTCGTCTTCTCCGCTGGTTGCCGAGATGATTTCAATGCTCGCGGGCCTCTCTTTTATGTCAAAATTTCTCCTTCTGGCTCCAAAGGGGCGGAGCTCCTTTTGATCTAGCTGTGTATCGTGGGGTTGGGATGTGTGTGTTGTTGTATATGTCGGTTATGAAAATTTGATGAAAATAATAAAAATTAAATGAATTTTGGAAAAATGTGTAATTATCCTAAATTACGTTAATTGGTGTAATTATGCGTATAAATTATGCTAATTCGAGATATAATCATATTAAATTTCAATTTAAAGCTTTCGTGACTGCAATGATTCATATTCTTTGGTTCTTTCGGTAAAGTCACGTGAACTTTACCGAAAGAACCAAAGAAGATAATCATATTAATTTATGTGAGTGGGTGTGGTTATGCTAATGCGAGCAGTTGTGTTAATTAGGACCTGCCTCGCTGACGAGGGTTGGATTATCAATCGGGATCATGCAATTGATCGTATTAAGTTATGCCAGTGTGATGTAAGTATGCCAGAGTAAGCTCCGCTTCGTTGTTTAATTTCGTATTAAAGCTGGGCAATACAATTATTCTCGCTTTAACATTTACTGAGTGTGTTATGTTAGGTCTCCAAATTCAGATCTAAATGCAAAATAAATTTCAGGAAAGAACACGCAACCACTTCTGCGTTAATCAATTTTATTTTCTAACTAAACCTTAATTCTAATATAATATGCGAACTCTCAATCTTGGAATTTCAACACAGTATCAACACAGTATCATCAACGACTGCGTTGTTTCACTTTGACAACGGCACATGTGATTCATTCCACCGCGTAACGCGAGCTCAGTTGGTGAGAGTCGTTAAAAACATGCATACGCTATTCTAAACAAAAACCTTAACTTTATAATATGCAAATTCGTATACTTGAAAATTGCCCACACAGTACCATTCATTCATAGACCTTCAAGGCAATTCTTATCACGCTGTTTCACTTTGGGTATCAGAGCAATTCATTCTTATGCAGTGTAACACGAGCACGTGCGGCAATTATGAACGAAAGGTCCTTAAAATTATGCGACAATATTCATACGAAAAAGCAATCAAAACAGTTATTCCCAAAGGCACAAATATATCAATAGATCCATCGGCAAGATTATATGATTACAGAAATGGCTTGGAGTGAGGGTGTGCGATGGGGTGCGTGCTCTCCTCCGAGATCCTTATCTTGGGCCAACTTTTAAATGTGGACCAGATCACCTGATAAGGAAGCCGGTTGGATACGCTATTCCCCCCGTGAGCATAGCTCCGTGGCGAAGGTGTCAAGGATTAATTCGTATTGATGGATCTGTTGGTAATTTATGCGATTAGAAGTACAACCCAAAACAAAAGAATAAAGGAGGAAAAATTATTACTGTACTTTTAAACGACGGATGGTTATCACTTGGTCTGTCGCAATGCTTTTACAGCCACTGATGGTTCACGTCTTGAGGATTAGGCTTTTGTTAATGACTCGTGTATATTTTGAGTGATATGGATTGTGTTGAGTAGGCCAGTGTTCGGAATTAATTATTTATGTCAAGCTGTCGTGTGGTGGGGGCAGTGTGCATCATACGTATGGTTGACTTTTCTTTCACAGCAGTTGGTTCGGGCCACACTGGTTGGTGAGGTGGCACGGTGCTGTAGGTGCAGTGGCCCGTCGGTAGATGGCGATCACAGCTCGCTCGTAGCAGCTGTTTCGGTGCTCATCCTTGTCGCCCTCTCCGTCGGTAAATGGCGCTGTAGGTGCGGTGGTATGCCGTCGGCGCTCTCTGGTGGCTGATGCTGGGATTCTCATCAGCTTCTTCTGATGATGTTGAATTCGCACGACGTAGCTAAGTAGCGAGTCTCGCCATTCTGGCGAGTTGTAGAAACTTCTGTGTCGGTGGTGGTTGATCTTCTGATGGTTGATCTTCTTCTGCAGGGATGAGTTGAGCTGGTCCACTGGTCGCTGAGCTTGTCCGCTGGCTGATGAGTTGATTCCAATGCTGGAGCGTCTTACTTTTATGTCAAAATCTCTCCCCTTGGCTCCTCCTTACAAGGCGGAGCTCCTTTTGATTTAGCTGTGTGTCGTGGTCTGGAGTGTGTGTGTCTGTAAGCTTGATCATTCATAGAATTTTATTGTCCGATATCCTGAGCCAAGAGATAGCCTCTCGGTTGTTAGAATTTTGTACTCCTTGGTGTTTGCAAGGTTATATAAACGGAATATAGTTTAAGGTGAACCACGATAGCATTAATGTTCTGTGTGATATTACGTATTAATATTATTTTACTTTAACTTAAGACTTGCTCGCCTGGATTTTGCTGACGCACGCTGCGCATTCTAAGAAATTTCCCCTCCCCGCTTGTGCGGGGTGTGCCATTTGTCTGGCGTGTGGTGGGGGGGAAGCGTTGTTTATTGGGTCATAGCTCTCCCGTGAATGCAGATGGCCTGCGATAATTCCTTGTCTTCTGGTGTTATCTTTGCTCTCTCATGCTGTAGGAAGACAAAGGCGGCCGCAGGCTCTTTGGAACACAGTTTATCCTGGTTTCGTAAGCTTGAACCGTTTGATTCATCCCTTCTGTATAACCCTGGGTTTAATACTGCATCATCATTATTGTTAATGCTCCCCAGGATT